CCACTACACCGCATATACCAACGGCGGCAAATTCAGTCAAATCTACCGTACCGTGCAAGTTAATGAAATAGAGGCAATGAGAATCATGCAGTACATGTACTATGGTTTCGGCTGTTATTGCGATAGATATCATATAAAAAAGATTAGGCCTTTATTGGTATGAGCCCTAACGGGGATGTACTCCGTTGCCGACGTGATGTACTGTACTGTACTGTACTCTTGAACGGCCAATTAGCCGTATCAGAAACCCCTCGCATTGCCTTACTGCGAATCCAGCGACGCGCAATTCCGTCTACTTTGGTATATTTCCACATGATGTGCTCCCCTGCAAGGCTGTGAGTACCACACGGCCTAGAGACCGCAGGGACACCCCATGCAGCACCGAGAGCTACTCTCACTCGGAGCTGGTTGGCCGGAATATATGCACAGAGAGCCCTCTCCAGGCAACTTCCTGGTAGATTTGCAAGGTACCATGCACAGTTGGGGGTACCTTAAGGAACCAATTGTCAGGAATTCTTGCTCGCTGTGCGGGCCACCCAACAGCGGTCTGGGGGGACTTGGACTAGACCACGGGTGATCAACAGTGATGAACCCGGCACGGGGAGCAAGGTAGAAAATAGGTGACGAAACAGCTTTAGATTGCCTTTGATGCCGTTTGGCAAACCAGCCCGAATTGGCACCTGGGAAGGGGAAGGGGACAGGGAAATGGAGAGGCAAAGAGGAAAGGGGAAAGGGGAAAGAGGGAGGGGAGAAAGGGAGTGAGATTGCATCACGGAGGACTTTCTCGAATTGACGAGGTCGAAGGGAGCATAACCAGGGGCAAGGAGAAAATGTTCGGAGAAGTTAGCAGAGCTAGTTTCCTGGAAGCGGTCTTTGAAGTCAAAGTAGTCGCAATCTCTGCTCCTATCCCTATGGATTTCAGGAGTCAAATCTCTATATGGCCAAAGCTTCATCTGGATATACTCAACCCTGCTTCATTGGTCAGCATCGGAGTTTATTTTCAATAGCAGGTTAGGTTTGTATGGGGATAGGGGCTAAAGATCTGAAAAATAAATCCGAATTAGTTCTCTATAATACAAGTATGATAGCATAATTTCCTGCCGTTCTTCCGTGACAGCAGCATTTCCGCTAGAAAAACTTGCTCCAAGCGAACCCCCACCCCACCCCTCCGCCGACCATCTGCCAACCCAAATAGTATGCAGCACTCATTCTAGAACTAAATATTTGTATGATCTCGGTACAATATAGAGTTTTGGCACCGGGAGTGGCCCTGATCCTTCACCGGCTCAGTATGACCGATCTTCCGGCTTCGGCCGTGCTTGGAGCCTTGGATAACAGTCTCACTGCCAACCTCTACCACTCTTATATTTTTACCCTGACTGAGCTTACATCATCGCGCCTCCACTTGGTCCTCCTAAAATCTCTTGAAGTAAGAGCACAACCAGGGTTAGTCACTGCCAAAATCAGAGGATTGGCTTCACATTGCTGGAACGACCTCCACCGGAGATTGTCCTTGAGAGTCCTCACTGACCAGCCAAGGAAATTATTAAGCTAGCCTGGGTGTGTTTGTTCAGATTTTATGGTCTTCAAATACCTTCCCTGTGCTTTCTAATCCTCAAACTCTCCGATGTGCATCCTTCTAGTCAATGAGTTCATCCCGGACCCGCTTGTAAATGCTAGCTCCTCCGGGATTGCCAATCCCTCCCCTTCCGGTAAGGCCTAGAAGTTAGCCCGATACCGGCCATGTTTACCGGCTTGTTGCATATTATCCCCACCACTCGTATATTGTATGAATAGCAATGGCAGAAGTATGCAGTGACCCTGTAAAGGTATCGAGCGGGAGTCATGGATAACACCGCATAAGACTGCCAAATTCGGACAGTTAGAGGAGGATAGAATTTGGAGTATTATCTAGGCTCGAGGTCGACAAAGTAGTAGTATAACTAGGACCTTCTAGTAAGGTGTCGGGCCTCACAAAGTTTGTGACTTTCCGAGGAAAGCAACAGTGAAAATTGTAGGGTTTAAGCATAGTTTGCCATCCCAAAAAAATCTCAAGAAGGTTAGATATCGAACAATTCTCAGACAGGATCGGCCCCTAGAAGTGTCCGCGCCACATATGAGGGCCGCCCAAGGCTCCCCATTGCTGTGCGGACGCCCAAAAGTGTGCTATGATATAATATCATACACGCAACACACTTAGGGGGTGTTTGTCTCGCCGTTGTTTGTAAGGTAATATGATACCTTACAAACTGCGGTTTGAAAACTTCTTAAAATAGGGTTTAATAAATGTTCCAAAATACCTATAACTGGTAAATCTTAGGGTCCGTTCTCCCACAGCCTAATAATAACATTATCCTCATCGCGCCTATATAGGGTCTTCGCCCAATTAGCTATAAACTGTTTCCTGGCCTTGCAACAGTTCCTTGAGGTGTTTGGCAACACATGCATACCTTACAGATCACGGCGATCCAACCTCCCCCTCAGATAATTAATGGAGAACAGGACGAATCCGTGAAACATTCGGGGCGAGGGGGGGGGGGGTTATACAATTCCCAATATCACATGACTCGGAACGTTTTACCAACCGAGACTACTGTACTGGATAACGCGTTCAAATATTAGGGTGGTTAATTGCGTAAGCTTGGCTTCACGGTTTCTAATCCAGTACGGGGGATTTATCGCCCTAACAGCGTTGAAATCAGTGCCCGGACTGTCGTCACTCGTGTTAGTCTACAGTCTGCAGTGTGCGGTTTCGGTCATCAGCTACCATACCGGTCCTGGCTCAAGTATAGCGTTGATTAGAATTCTTGTTTCTTGTTCCACTGGAACCTGCGCTGTTCTTTTTACTTTAATGCGTACCAATCAAACCTATTGTATTCCATCCCTTCGTTCATCGAACGAAACTATGGTATTTCCGAGTGACAATGTATGAGTGGCCGATGAGACAAATTCAATGCTATGATACAGGAATTGCTGAACAGACAGTTACAACCTACGTTCAAGTGCACAAGTACTGCGAATTCCCATAATCTTTGCTTCCTAGGGGTTTGTTAGGCGGCGGCAGCTTGTGCGGCTAGGTAATGTGTACGTTTGGATTTTGAGGTTGAAGGTAGCTACGTGGGGTGTACCATTGGCGAGAATTAAATAGAAAGGCACTTTAGTACTAGTGTCGCTGGTAGAATATATATCTAGCTCTAACTTGTTGGGTTAGTGACAATATTGGTGTTTTTTTTTCATTTTTCATTTTTCATTTTTCATTTTATTTATTTACACAGGAGCCGAATAAGATTTCATGATGGAATTTTGTTAGCTAGACAAAGAGTTTTCAAAGTTGATGGAAGGAGACTGAAGGATATCCCAGGACAGTTGTTTGCTTAGTTGCACGGCCCGGTGGGGCGGGTCTATACAATATGAATTTTTATTGCTGGGTTTCTCTAGTCCCTTGGTTTTCTAGAGAGAAGAAACACGACAACCAGCGAGGTTTTCCTTCTGGGTTTTCTTTACTTATTCTTAAAAGTTCTTGGAGAATTTGGCAACTAGTATATCACGCAAAAAAATTGAAGTGTGAATTGTGATTTGTGTGTAGAGAAGTGAGATTTGACAGTTGCATGCATGGCCCTGGACACACTGGCCCTTTCGTGCGCAGGACAGAGACCTACCAGCCCACCACCCGCTGTTTCTCAATACTCACCTAGCAATCAGACTTGAAAAGCGGCTGCAATCGCAGTGCTTGCTGTGGGCCTGCACGGGCTTTGGCCTCGAAAAGCCCGTAGGCTTTTCAGCTCCGTAAAACCTGGCCCCAAGCTGAAAAATGGATGCAATAACAGCTAGGGGGACAGTGGTTTGTTCCAAAATAGAACAAGGACGACACGCGATAACATCAGCTTCCTATACTTTGATTACCTAGATTTTATGTGGAATCTCTTTACTGACTTTTGTATGATATTGTACAACCTTTTGATAGCCTCTGTGGACAACCTCAGTTATTCGCACCTACGCTTTGGAATAGATATCCCGATAGGATGTATAGAACCTGGCAAAGTGCAACCTTCCTCCCCCCACCTGCCCAAGCCATCACTGATTTCCCTCAACATTGTGGCATGGAATAGCCCTGGGTAGGATGCAAGCATGACACTAGATATCAGTCTGTGGTAAGCGATTCAAAATGCTGCAACTTATCACAAAAACCCGCAGGAACCCCTATGCACGCCTCAGCTCTGATGTAATACCAGTCCACTAACCCATTCGAATAATTTGTGTTACGCAGAATCTTTTTTGCTTTAGCGAATGAGATATTGGTGAAGGTTTGGTGGGTGGAGACTTCTGTGTTGTGGATTCCGTAAGTTCCGCTGAGAGTCGGCTCACGAGTGATGGGCTATGTCTGCCTGTGGCTTATGTTCGTAGCCAGTATATATGTGTTTTCCCTGCCGTGGGATAATCGTTCGGAGAGTGGGTTTCTGGGGTTACAGTCAGGCATGCGAAACTAAAATACACAGTGCCGAATTTTATTAGGTTATTTGACCAAGTTATACGTCCGGAAGTTAATTGTCCGACCAAGTGTTTCGATCAAAGTCAAATCTAGGGATACGGGTACAGTACCGTCGCCTCTATGGGACGAACATTAGGGACCCTGCCCCTTTCTTTAATGCTAACCAGTGCGACGAGTATAAACATATTAGGTACAGTAGGAATGCCTAAGTCAGGCTGATAAGAGCGACGCTAGCACACCGAGGTCCTCGAGTTCTCAATAGCATTTTCTTGCGGGGATATCCGTCCGGGCCGTTTGAGTATTCGAGAAAAAGAAACGAACCCCCCGATTGCATGAGAGTTGGTGTTAGCCCTGGTGGGGCTCTGCGCCGCAGCAGGAAGGTCGCCCGGACCTGGACGGATAACGCTTAATCTACCCGCCTTGGCAAGGAGGCTGAAACCACGTGACCTTTATTGAGAAGAAAAATCCATCGATGCCTTAACTTACTAGTCGCGACATCCTGCTTTTTACCAAAATTTCGCCTCCGCAATCCCCCCTCGCAACTCAAACAACAGTCATGGTGAAAAATTCGAAAAAAGCCTCTCCTCCAGCACCACTCCTGGTCGCGCTTGTCCGACAATTCCTCAAAGACTCGGGGTTTAAGTCGACGTTGAAAATTTTCGAGGTGGAGAGTGTATCCAGTGGAACAAAGCTGGGGGAATTGAAGAATGGGACATCAGACCTAAAGGCTATTTTTGAGGAATGGGCTGCAAAAGGAAGGAGGGAGGCGGAGGAGAAGAGCAGCGAGAGCGACAGCTTGTTTGAGGCCGATGATGAGCAGAGTTCTAGTGATGGGTCATCGGACGATAGTGATGATGATGATGAGAACGAGAACGATAAGGACAAGAGGAGGAAGAAGAAGGGCGAAGAGGAAGAATCTTCGTCGTCGGATACTGTTGTCGGTGATAAGGAGAAGAGCAGTGACAGCGGGAATGGTGGGGATGGCTGTAATGGCGAAAAGAAAAAAGCTAAAAAGTAACAATCATATTTGATTCCTTTTGATTGAAACTTCTTAGGGACACGAAACTCACGGATATGTAGGAAAGCTCCGTCCTCTAGCCACTCCGACTCCGACTCCGGGAGATCTGACTCTGGGGAGAGTAGTTTAAGCTCATCAAGTTCTTCCAGCAACGATTCTGAAGAAGTGGGAGGGGGCAAAGATTCTAAGGGCTCCATTGACTCTTCAGACTCAATTAGCTCCTCCTCGTCATCATCCTCATCCTCTTCTTCGAGTAGCGAGTCTGAAAAGGACAAGAATTCAAAGATGTCAAAGGTGTCAAAGAAGTCAAAGAAGTCAAAGAAGTCAAAGAAGTCAAAGAAGAGCTCTTCCTCTTCCTCGTCCTCTTCATCCCCCTCGCCCTCTTCAAGCGATGATTTGAAGAAGGCTAAGAAAGCCGGAAAGACCAAGACCAAAAATGCTAAAGACTCATCTAGCTCAGATTCCGATTCAGCTCCGTCCTCCTCTAGTTCATCTTCATCTTCGTCCTCCTCTAGTTCATCTTCATCTTCGTCCTCATCCTCATCCTCATCCTCTTCATCCTCCTCATCCTCTTCATCTTCGTCCTCAAGTTCAAGTTCAAGTTCTGACTCCGATAAAGAAAAGAAGAGAAAGAAGAAGAAGGGCAAGAGCACTGGTAAAAAGGTCCCAAAGGGGACAGACAAAAAAGGGCCTGCGAATTCCTCAACCAAAAAGCGGAAACGAGAAGACGGCGTGCCAAAAAGGGATGCTAAGAGGAGCAAACAAGAAGGCTCTGGGCACTTGTAGGTTCTCCTGTTACCCATCGCTTTATTTTATATATAATTGCTTATACACCCCATAGTCCCGGCTCTAACACTATTTCCACGTCCTCATCTGACGACGGCCAGAAAAAGAAAAAGGAATTTATCCCTAATAAGCCCTTCTCCCGCATCGAGTATGACAAAATTCATTATGCGGATGAGCGTGTCAAGGATAATACTTTTGAAGCTCTCCAACTCCCAGAGAATCACTATACCGTGAGGGCACATCAAGATCTCATTGTTACCAAGGGGAAGGGTTTCACAAAAGAGAAAAATAAGGTTTGTACATATCATCCACCTAGCTCTTTCTCTTTTAGCAAGTATTACAGAATAGAGATTAACTTTCCTCGGGATTATAGAAGAAGAGAGGATCCTATAGAGGTGGAGCAATCGACTTTTCGACAAATTCTTTCAAATTCAACGATTAGAGTGGGATATAGTGTTTACCCAAATCAAGGGGACGGGTTTGGTATGTGTGTTTGTGAGGTGGTGCACGGATGATACCATACCTGTATTGACCTCTTATCCGCCCGCTAAACAATCACACATCCCTTCAATTACTGAGCTTTATTCGCAAGCCCGCCTTCCTCTGCAGTGATTGCTTCAATTTTTTCCGTAGATAGAAGCCTCCGCGAATTAATCCCAGAAATGTAGAACCTAGCAGGGTGTGCATGAGCATAAGGAGAAGGGGGTACCTAGTTGTGCTTGTTGTTAGTTGGTTAAGGGTCCGTCCACTAGTCCTCTTAAGGAGTAGCAGATTGTCCCCGGTTGTGGTTTGCGGAGTCTGGGGTGGCACCACCTAGTTATCCTCGTAAGAAAAAATGTCGAGCAAACTGTGTTTCATGGATTCGAAATGTGTTACTATATTTCGCTTCATTTGGGGCAACAGGCATAGAGTCTCTATTCTACTTCGCCAGCACCTTAGGTTATCTTGTTCATACTGCGAAAACTGTGGGTGTGGTTTGATAACTTATGACGGAGCATACAAAATAAAAATCAGCGGAGCAAGTGATAGAGGGGAAGGTCGGAGAAGTGAGAAAGATTGTTTGCCAACTATATTCAGAAAGCTCAAAACAAAAGTAGATCAGATGGACTGATACCTAAATAAGCACCGAATACAGGAGCCATAAAAAATAGGATAGTAGAGGCCTCTGAATATTACGATTCCCGGACACAACCAGAATAGCTATCGACGGGTAACGTAATTTCCTAGTTCAAGACCCATGCTTCCGAATCCATTGGTTGACGAATATAGTCGAAATATGACCCCCATGCTAGGAAGAATCCCAGTAGCGAGTGATATTCAGTGAAGGGTGAATGGATTTAACAGGCTGCTTGGTATGAAGCGGCTAGCAGGGAAGGCTTCTTGCTGTAAACACTATATTAGGGGTAGTTAGTGGTTTGTAGCGGACGTGGCGTCTGATAGCATAGCTTGTCAACAATAATTCCAAAAGCCCAGCGAACACGAACAGGTAATGATTTCTCGTGTCTCCAAGTCATGATCCGATGCCAGTTTTCACTTTCCATGGGCCTATGGTAAATATTCCAAAAGAAGTGCCGATTCTTCTGCTAGCGGAGACAAGAGACAATAGGGAGCCGATAGCAAAGAACTTTTTAAAAATCAAAGACTTCTCACTTCTTACAAATAGCAGTATCATAAGACATGATGTAATCATAGGCGACGGGTGGAGCTGCTCGGTTGAACCATAGGGGGAAGTATACTCAAGCGGTTAAGCTCTTTCCCACCACTTACATACACAGAACTCTCAAGTGGCAAGCAGAGAACAAGATTGAGGGATTGAACCCAGAGATTTGGAGCGGTGGGGGGTGGCTTATGTTGAGCCGAAGGTCACATATCATAACTTGCAGGCTTTCACCGCCAAACAACTTCAAGGCAGCGCGTTTAGTGGCTGGATCTAGCCAATACCCCCCTGCGCTGTGCTTCTTTCCCCGGCGAACTGCCCCGGCAGTTGTCTGGTGGGCAGGGGAAACGGTGCAGTTTGGCGGTGCCCATGCGAACCAGAAAAAACAGCAGAGATATAATATTATGTCAGTGATAAGTATGTGATCTTACTAGCCTCCACTTTGGCCAAAATTTTGCGCTTCCATGGAGCTATTATCGAAGGGTACCTCTACTGGTGTCATACAGATCCTTCGTCTCTATAGAGCTCTGCCAAAGTCGATAAAAGTCGCGAATTTTAGTCCCATAGTGAGGGATCATATATACGCAAGGGATTTCAACTTTTTAGTGTTATCCAATCATACGCCCCGTTTATACTGCCAACGTGATATATTATACGGTAAAGGAGAAACATTGAAGACTTATACCCTCGTCTTCTAGAGCCACAATTAATATAGTGAAGACTCTCCTAAGTCCTGAGATTTTTTGGGGGTATATTTTGAGGGCATGTCCTTGACTGCTCCTCTCCGGTCTTTGTTAAGTGGCAGCTACAAACTTAATTAAAATACCTTAGCTCCTAACTCTGCATTCAGAGGTTTTCTCTTTTCCATTCCGATACAATCCTCTTACTTTGTGCTACTCATCCCCAATGTGCAAGCCGAAACTACACAGCACCCAATGGAGCTTTATCTCTCTGGTAACAAACCGCGATCCTTCCAGCATGTGTATTAATGCGCCGCACCCTCTCTCATAGCCTCGCTATTGGGCAGGAATTACCAAATCTACTCATACTTATCGCCAACATAATATTCATCCCAAGCCCCTGTGGGAGGCCGCTCGCCAGGAGTGGGAGATTGAGAACAAAGAAATGGGGAGAGAGCCACTTGCTTAATTTCCAGTACGATAGATGCCCCGGAGCCTGTCCTACTTATACCAATAAGTGGCGTCTTTATACATTAGTGACTCTTACCTAAATCCCGATGGGCCAAGGGGCGCGACGTGTAGCCGGACATAATATGATAGCTTGTATGATACCTTCCTTCGGGTTGAAGTATTACTTCCGGTGACGGGCGGAGGGTAGCACGAGTGATGCCCTATGATACACCCCCGGTTTCTAAGGTCTCAGCTCTACGCCACAGTTGCGAAAACGTCAGTTACCGATAAGGCACGACCCAGAACAAAGTGAACCGGAACTGCCAGCGTTTTGTAAATTCCTTTCTTAAACGCAAGTCGACATTTCGATATTAAAATTCCTCTCTAACCACCTCTTGTCCTAAAATCCATCTGGTACCACTTCGTAAGTTTCTCGTTTTGACACTGAGGTCACCTGACTCGCTTCGCGTCAAATTGATTATCGCACGTCCCCCTCCACGAAAACACGACTCAACACCCCAAAACAAACACCAACGGCAATACCTCAATGTTTTCAGCCGGTCCAAATAACCCACGCCAGGGAACTGCTCCACCTGCCGGTGGTCGCAATCGCCGGGCTCAAGGCCTACGACAATCACCCCCTCCCACAGCTAGCGCCTCGACCAATCCTCTTGGCGGGTCGGTACTGGGCGGGGTTCTATTTGGAAACACTGGCGGGGGAAGGGGCGGTACCGGACACCAGCACCATCAACGTGAAAGAGACCGTGACCTCACCTCCCAACAGCAGCGCCCCCAGGAGCGAGGTACAGTAGTGGAACTGAGTGAGGAACAAAGGGCTGAGATTAATGAAGCTGTAAGTACACTCGATGCCCCGGGTAATATCGCTAGAAATTCGCTTACGGTTTCATGATGCTACAGTTCCACCTCTTTGACCTCGATAAGGACCGCATGATCGACTACCACGAACTCAAGGTTAGCGTATTCCAACCCCTCCAGCTCCAGCAAGTGCTCCTAACTGAAACCCTAATTTAAATATAGGTTGCAATGAAAGCACTCGGATTCGACGTTCCTAAACCTGAGCTTCTGCAAATTCTTCGCGAGCACGGCACCCCCGGTCCTGGACAGCAGGCTCAGCCCGGTGCGCAGCCAAGTAGGCTATACATTTCTCAGGAGGCATTTACTTCCATCATGACACAGAAGATTCTAGAGAGAGACCCACTGGATGAGATACTAAGGGCATTCGACCTATTTGCCAACGCTGCTGGTGGGGGAACGGGCCAGGAACCGAGGATAGGAATCGAGGATTTGAGGAGGGTAGCGAGGGAGCTTGGGGAAACATTGGAGGAAGAGGAGTTGAGAGCTATGATTGAGGAGTTTGATATCGATAACGACGGGATGAGTATGTTTCCAACTTGTTTAACATCCCTGTTTCGTCTCAACCCTCTAGTTGGTCGAAATTGATATAAAGTGAAATGCTGACATGGCTGTTGTGCGAAATAGTTAGCAAGGAGGAATTCATTGCTATCTGCCGAGGCGAATGAGAAATTTCCAAAATGCCATAAGGCGTTGCGCATTCTTATGCCATTTGTCTTTTTTGTTTTTTCTGTATTTATTCCCTTTTCTACTCTATTCCACCGTAAGCTTGGCCCTGCTGATATAATTGGAACACGATAGATACCTTGTCTGTGAATTTTTTTTTCCTTTTTTTCCTTTCTTTCTTTTTAATACCTGATAAGCAGCTGGGGTATCCGTCTCCAGCTCTATTATCTCGGTCAGTTGTACTATTATCCGAAATCAACACATGGTGGATCATCGATGGAGTGCAGAGCGATGGCATTGAATGACAAAATTGAGATGGCGTTGCACAACGCAAGGCATGGGGGTTAATTTGACATGCCCAAGCAGCAAATCAGGAGGCAGACAAAAGCTGGAGTTCGCCAAATGTCACGTGGGATATGAGGATCTACATAGGATCACAACTATCAAGTTACATTGCCGGGGTGTTACCAAATGCGGGCCGTTTTCATATTAGACTGACAACATCACGGCACTTTTCCCTGAACACTTGGGAAATGGATCAAGACCATATTATCATAGGGCGAGAGATAGAGGGCCCTTTTTCCCTCCGTCCCATTTTACCCTATTTTCTTGTTATCGGAATAACGGATGAGATTCGGATTCGGCCGACCGGGCGAACGTCATATAGTCCACTTTATTATTATACTTCATAACCCTACGGTACTTGCACACCTCCCTCCTACCGCATCTTCATGGCATTCGTGATAAATATAATTTCGAAAACAAGTTGTTGCATAATTATAGGGGAATATTTTAGCCTGTCCAATATGTAGGTATGAATAGCGCTATGGCACGATATGTCTAACCTTGGATCCCCGGATATGGGCCTTTATGCGGGGCAGTTCGAAAGAGGCAGTCACCGGGGAAAGAGAAGTATCCGGCTATGGGGTGGAGGGAATTTATGTCATGAAATCCGCGAACGGTGATAAGCATCCACGATGTCTAACTTGGTACTGTGAACTATTTTGAATGCATGATTTGTAGATGCTTTCTTCCTTTCTCACCCGTCAAAACAAAAATAAAATACTGTACTGTGCTGCAAGCCTTGAAACGGATGAGTTGTACTATCATACTATTACTAACTCTAGTCAGGCTCTCTCCCTGAAGCCTTACCTGCTTCTATCCATTAGCCGAAAGAGAAAGAGAGAAGAAAAAAATAGGTAAAAAACGCCAGCAGAGCAAAAGGGGTGACCTGAGACGAGAAATTCGTGGGGAATATTTATCATTATTAAAGCCCTTCTCCCTACCTGCTTCCCTCCCTCACTTATCCTTATAATACTCCTTTCCATACCATACAATCCCCGGGGAAAATCACCCAACTCTGGCCTAAGCTGCCCTCCCCTTTCCCCCCTCCCCTCCCACCGGGAAAAAGAAAGAACCCGCAAACCTCGCCAACCCACAGTTCCCACCCACATATGGACTTTCCCCATCCGGCCCACGGGCGAAACCCCTAAGTTACTGTAGGTATCGTATCATACTTTTACAAGTACCAACCCTACTACTACTACAAAACAGCAGGCAAAGAAGAAAAAAACACCCCCAATCAGAACCAACCAACCGGCCAACCAAACGACAACTCAAATAATTATTATCCTACTCCCTCGCCTATCATACAGCACAGTCGTACTCATACATGAGAACAATTGTAGTACAAACAAGCAAAGATATTAACAAAACTTAAACTACCACCACCACCTATTTCCAACCAACGAACCTCAACCCCACATTCGGTACAGTACATGCAAGGAAAAAAAAAAATCGCGAATATGAATGCACACATATCCATACGGATATGCGTTTGTGCATACATGGGAGGCGCCGTGCGGGGTTGATGGGAGGAATTGGGTATGGTATCGTACAGTAAGTTATCCTTGTTGCCCAATTTGTCTGCTTTATATTTCTATTTTGCCGTAAAGTTGGGTTTATCGGGTACGGTGTAATGTTGTATCGTATCGTATCTCTAAACCTGGGGGGAGGGTTTACGGACAACTTCACTTACCCACCCCACCCCCGACACTGGTGGGGTGGTGATGGATTCGGGCACAGATGGCAGGATACCGTGATGCATATGTGGTTGAAAGAATGGAGAAGGGGAAGGGAAGGAAAGGATGTATAATACGGTTTGGTAGGTTGAATGGATCGATTGATGTAGGTAGGTGAGCAGGTAGGTTACATAGAGTACATACGGTGATGTGATGTGATGTGGTTATATAGTGGGGTAAGGGTGGGTAGATGTACCATACCGTAGACGGCGGGCGACGGCGAAGGAAGGGGAGAAGGGGAAAGAAAGAAAGAGATCGAGGGGGCGGGGATGGGGTGTGAAAAAGTTAGCCTTCGTTGTTGTTTTTGGCTAGTTTACCGGGTATTTTGTGGGTTTGTTTGCTTGTTTGCTTGCTGAGAGAGGGGCGGGAGTAGTATAAAAAGCAAACTTTGGAAGAGAAAAAAAGGGTTCCCTCCCGGGTGAACATATCCCTATCACAACACCACCCGCCAGCGTACAATTCGTACCTTTTTTATTTCACCTTTTCCTTCCGCATATCCGCCACAGGTCGTTCCGCACCCGATGGGCTACCCCCTTGTTGAATGGGTGAATGGTTGGATGGATGGAAGGATGGATCGTCACGAGACCTCATAGAGGTGAGGGGATTGAGGTGAGCGTACGGGTGAGAGTGAGCATGGACAACGCTTCTTATACCACGGATCTACCACCACCGCCAAACAAACCTTCAAAAACCTACTCGAACCCACCCACCAAGAATACGAGCATCACAGCACAGCACAGCACCAGGAACACAATCAATCACAACCTGTCACTTCTATTTAACTAAAACAGCTAGAACTCTTTTTGTATCAAAAAAAACACCCCGACCACCGGACCTTTTAAGAACGCGGGAAAGCAAACACATACAAACGAACACCAAGCCGCAAGAAAAAGTAGCAACAATGGTAGATCAGGAGACACGAAGAAGCAGAGGGGAAATAGGAACATCATACAACAAGTTACAGAAAGAAAATGGAAGAAAACACCAGAAACAGAATTGGGACCTTTGTTTGCTAGGGAATCCAACTTTGCAAGCAAGTTATCATGAGGTCATAAACCTTCGTCACCGCAACCTTCTATATCCAAGATGAGGAAATGAAAGCCGAATATAGAGGAAAATGGAATGTGAAAGGGAAAAAATCAGGAAAGAAAAAGAGAATTAAAGACCCTGAATAGCTCCCGAAAATGCTCACATCTTACAAGGCCCCCCTCTGCAGGAGATTCCCATGTTACCGAATTGGATGCGAGGGGGAAAGGGAATTCATCATGGAGAAAAGAGAAAGGTGGTAAAATCTAAGATAAATAAGAAAAGTCGCAACTTCGGCCAACCGAGTGGAACAGCCCGATCGCGGGCCCGAGGAACACCAATTCCCCAGCATCCGCTGTCGCGGAGTTTGTTCCGACCGCAATTCCTATCAACCCGGGAACTATCCGCACAACCACCCCGTGCTTCTCAATATTACGGAGGTAATGGCACTGTGAAGCCCCACATCGGCGCTTCACGACCAGAAAATGGGACATAAGAACACAGAAATGGGGACCACATAATACCAAAACCGAGTCATGGCAGACACCAATTCCCAGAGTAAAGCTTTAAAATGGACTTCAGCCACTCCAAAGACGTGGGCACCAAGTAACCCCGCCGCCTCTATAGCAAAAACGACACACCGCGCCAGATAACAGAGCATGGAAGTAAAAAAAGATGCAACTGGAGAGTAGGAAATTAGGGAAATATATAAAAATAAAAATAAAGAGGTATACCCTCCCCGTATGCGCGAGCCAGAAACTGGCCATAACTATCTTCAATACCACTAGGAATAGTCTCGTGGACAAAATTGCTCCGAAGCCTGCTCCCAGTTGTGCCAATAATCCAGGCAGCTCATGGGTACACGCCGGGCAATCTTACCTCTCTTTGCTCATAAGAGTGAAGACTGTCACTTGAGTGGGGCCTTCGGAGATGATCGCTACCATAGTGCGAGCCAAGAACTGGAGATTGGAAAGAGTTGTGAGGTGGGAAAAATACTGTATCTTCGGAAACGGTTGAGTGACACGAGGGCGAGCGATACCCGGGAGAAAAGAGAGGGCTAGGATGAGACATATGTGGACTCCCAGCGGCAGACATGTGAGGACTTCCAGAGAGATGTGGGCTGCCCTGGCGCTGCGCGTCAGGCTTTGGCGGAGGTTCAAGGATTGGTGGCAATGATGACATAAAAGTCGGGTTCGAGGTAGGAGGTTGACGAGGCCCAGCAGGAACCATTCCGGAGGATATTGTTGGTGTTGTCGTGGGTGTAGGACGGGGTGTCAGAGGCTGCAATTCATTCATCAAAGAAGTCGAGGGGTGGGAAGTGATATTGCTCTGTCGATAATGATAATCTCCACCTTGGCGGTGGGCCGAGAATGGCGGAGGAAGTTCTGTTGATGGCGATAGAGAAGCATGTCTCTGGCCGGGTGAAGGTGTTGAATGTGCCGAGCTTGGGTTTGAATCATTTGGAGGGCGCCCCAAAGGACGTGCATTGGGGGATCTTGGTGGCCTCCCAGGCTTCGGTAAGGTAGGTCTGGCAGCTAGTGCGGCCGCTGTAGCCGCCGCTGCTTCACTTATTGTCCCAGTGTGGTGGTTCTGATGACGAGTGAGTGTAGTTCGTCTGCCAAAGGGTTAGATGTTTGCTCAATGCCCACGATTGCTGGGCCTGTTACCTAGTAAACGTCTTCTGACAGTCTGCATAAGGGCACTTGTACGGGCGCTTCCCTGAGTGTATCCTACGGTGCCTAGCAAGCGAGCTTGAGTCACTAAACGGCTGTTTGGAGGACGGAAAATCAGTAGACGAAACAAGATTGAGAAGATAAGGGTTAAAACCACCTTTCCACAAGTGTCACACATGTGGGGCTTCTCCCCAGTATGGACACGAGCATGTACAGTCAATGCTGACCGCTGAATGAACTGTTTATCGCAGCCAGGGTAGTCACAGACATGTGGTCTGACACCAGTATGTATTCGTTCTGAGGAATAATTAGAAAATAACTTATTGAGAAACCGAAGTGCGTAACTCACCATGTCTAGCGAGATCACTACGGCGTGCAAAACCCTTACTGCACACACTGCAAGGAAATGCCTTTGAGTAAGGATCCCCTGATGATGGCCTACCAGGACCTCGTGGTACTGTATTAACTGCACCAGAGGGTACACCTGAATATGATCCGTTCGCAGAGACTAAAGCATTACTTGGTAATGGGTAGGCACTAGGTGAATGCTCCGAGGCCGATGGTGAAGTAGATGAATGAGGTGATCCTTCTCTATCCGAGATGAAGTCTGACGCAGCAGGACTGTGGGGGTGCGCACCCGGGTTAGCCAAGTAGGGATTCTTCTGCATCTCCAAAGAGAGAGTAAGTGGAGGTGCAGCGCCTGCTGCTGCAGCGGCCGCATCCTTGGTGTTTAAAATATTGGTTAGGTCCATATTGGGTGTGGAGAAATCGTTCTAGACTCTGGTTGGAGGTTTTCAAAGGATTCAACAAGATGAAAACAAGAGATGATCGAAGGGCTGAGTTGGCAGGAAGGGATGTGCCTTTAAACTTCCCAATACCAGAGAAGGTTTGAGCACGCTATGAGGAGTTAATGATGAGATAATGAATATCACTGTGGGCTCGTATCAGAGTATGCTTACAAGGGAGGTGAGGTTCTGCAGAAAAAGGGTTCAATTGTGGTGCGCGAAGCGTTTTGCGGGGGACAAATCCTTCTGGAGGCGAAAGACAGTCTGTGCGAAGTAAAATTGGCCGGAGCTCCTGCCCCTCTCGAATCAGACAGCAAGGCAACCCAAAAATTGTCTTGTAAGCGATGTGTTTTGCCCTAGACTCCAAGCACCTTTCCATCAGCAACCTAAACCCGTCAAACCGAAAGAGTGCACTGTGGTTCTAAACCGGAGATCAAGACAAAAGGGGAGAAGGGAGGAAAGAAAGAGGATGCTTGTTAGAGGTTTCTGCGGGTACCCACCTTTTGTTCTCACAACTGAGCTTCTTTTTCTTCCTTTTTCCCCAGTCTCCTCCAGACGGACTAGTGTGCAGATCACAAACGATACGAATTCAAAATTCAAGGTCAGAATAGCCCAAATGCTCACCAGTTGGCGAGCCTACCCCAACAAATGAGAAAATCCTTTGGGCTTAATGAGAGTCGAGCCTTAACCTGCTAAATGATCCTTTATAGTTAACCCGACCACCAGGTTACCGCACTTATCCGCTGTTCAATGAGAAAAAGGTGCTTTGAAAGAACCCTCACTTTCCACCCCTCGACAACAAAAAAATAAGTTGCGGGCCTCTCCCTCTTATTTGCAGGTTCGAAAAAAAAAAAGAAAAAAGCTGCCTTCTCTCTCTCTCTAATATAAATAATATATAGCTTGCTGATCGCCTGCGAGTGCTTCTCTCGTGAACCTCAGAACCGTTCGAGCCACTTGTAAATCACAATATAATCGACCAACGGCGCAGGCGAAATAGTTGATCGGTTGAGATCGATAGAAATCTGCACAGACGGACTGACTTGTGACTTGACTCGCACAGCCTTCGGATCGTTGCCGTCCTCCGATAGCAAACCAGTTTGTTTTTAACACCTTCCTGAATGGCGGCCAACTGTTCATACACTCGGGATTGGTCCGCCGTGATCGGATACCCCCGGTTCTTTTTGAAAGCGACGTGAATTCTCGGAAACTGGCGTGTTCCCGAATGAGACTGGGTTGGTCCCAGCTCCAAATGTAAGAGATGTATGAGCACAGAAAATCGGAATTTTATGACGGGTTGTCGATTGGTGGAAAGGAGTAGACTCAATTTCAAGGAGTAGAAGGGTAGATAAAGTTCTGGCCAGCAGGGATAAAAGCTGTCCTTAGATTCGTGTCTTGTCTTTCTATCTCCCTTTGAAAAGAGTGATGGGGCAATATGGAAGGTGAGTGGGTTGGAACGTGGGAACTTTGTTCAAAAGTGTGACGAGGGATAAAATCTGCACCAAGCAACAAGGTTAGAAACACTGGAGTACATGCAACTCTCTTTCTTATCCCGCTACGCCCAGCAAGGCGAAATGACTTACGGAGTCGCAAATATGCGTGCAGAATAATCACAATTGCAAGCAGGTTGGAATCCTAAAACCGATACTCTGGACCGGTGTCTGGGGAAAGATGATGTCGGCAGTAGGTTTTGTCGAGGCAGACGGTGCCTGAAAGGATGGTTGCAACCCAGATCGGATGATTTGACAATTCGGCAAAAGTCAAGCAACAAGCAAGCGAGAGGTAGGAGATATTAAAATCGCGAGTTTGGGATGGAGGGGAGAACTGGTCTGTTATAGTATAAAAAGGGAGGAGGAGGAAAAAGGAAAGCGGAAAAGAGATTTGATGACGCGGGGAGGTGGAAATATTCTCGAGGAGGGGGTCTTAGGGTGTGGTAAGAGGAAGAGGGCAGGAGATGGATTATGGAAGTGGAGGTGGTAGGTGGAGGTGTAGGAACGGTGGTGGTGGTGGTGGTACGGGACTCAGTGATGGATAGAGATAGTCTTGCACGGAGGAGGCTTTTCCTTTCTCTTCTCTTCGGGTTCTTTTTTCCTTTTTTCTTCTTTTTTTCTTTTTTTTCCCACTTTTTTCTTCTTTCCTTCCTGCCCGCTTTCTTATTTTATTAATTATTGGTGAGGAAGGGATGGGGGTTTGAGTGTGGATGGATTCAGTGGGGCCAGGGACGAATCTTCCATTCTCAGAAAAGAGAGAGCGAAAGAGAGGAGGAGGAAGGAGTAAAAGAGTAAGGTAGCAAGCGTGTGAGTGAGTGAGAGTGCAAGAGAAGGATCAAAGCGGTGTAGACTACGTCTCGAGGGTTACCACATTGCTTGCTAATGTGCAGCGCACAGAGAGACACACGAAAAATGATGCAAAGATTTGATACGATACAGGCACCAAATGGAAGGAAGGAATAGAAAGTGCGAAACAAAAACTCAATGGAAAGTGAGAATGAGACATGTAAGTTGTGAAAGCGAAAGCCTCATTTGATAGCTAGCTTCTAGAAAGGTGCCCTGGACAGGGAAGAGAACGAGGTGATAGAGAGAAAAGGGATAACCTGTACGAGTATTCTACCATTCACTGCACATTACTGTGCTCCATCACCTCCATCCAAAATAACATCCCCGGCATCCGCCTTCCTCGCTAGCGATAACTGAGTTCCACAAGCGCTGCCAAAAGTAACGACCCCCAAACAATACGGGGGAATTATTCTATAGGATGGGATGAGACTGGTAAATTTACTGTATTATCTCGCCATGTGTTGTAGCTAGCTGCGTTCCCGGAATTCACGCAGGAGGGCAGCATCATCATGGTCTGTGCAAAACTACGTGCAGAGTATTGGCAGGGGTGTCTACGGTTCTAAATGCTCGAACATGACCCAGCGGCGGCCTAAGGGTGTGTAGGCGAGCGAGGGGAAGGGGAAGAAGGGAAGGAAAAGGAGGGGAAGGGGAGGGGAGGAGAAAAGAGGCAAGGCAAGAAGAGAGAAAGGATTGCAAGGAGCAGGTGGAGAGAGAGTCTCGGCACCCAATATGATGCTGTCGTGGGCAGCAACAAACAGGTCTCTAGTTCGCATCTTTTAGGCAAAGCGCAGGTCAGCACTTTACAGGCAGGAAGGACGCACATATGATACTGTACACGGTTTGTATATGAAGGGGGAAGCGGTGACCAGTGAGTGGGCAGCAGTAGGAGAAGTAGAAGGGGAAGCAGAAGCACCAGAAGCGTGCTACCCCAGTGCGAGCACTGTAAGTTAGTGCTTGTACCGGTATTCAACCAGTGGCATCCTACCCCAACCAGCAAGAAGCAAGCAGCATAAGTGAGGTGCCACAGTGTGGATGGATCCGAGCTGCTGGGTTCAAGCCAAAGTTCGCGCTCAGAGAACACGTACCGTAACCTAAGTTCTATGCAACCAAGGGACGTGGCTCCCCTTCCCTACCAAGCACTGCTGCTCGGACATGCGAAGTTTCTCAAAAAACAGAAACAGAAATAACGAAAAAAACGAAAACAATAGCTTGTACATGTACAAGTATACCGATAGATGAAGAGGGAGAAGGGACTCTCTCTAAAGGAATTGCACCTGTACCCGTACTGTACATATCCACAAACCCCACGATGATCGTTGTGTGTATGATCATGATAATAATAACCGAATTATGGGAACTTTTCCACCACCGCTCACTCAACCTTGAGAGGCTGCTTATGCCACAGCAGGGTCTCTCAAGCCTCAAAAATTCAGAACCTTCTACGCCAAATCCATAGAAGGTCCTTGACTATCACACACCACCCAAGCTACCACCCTACGGTGCCGCATAAGGACCACAATCCTTGTCCTTCAACTTTTCAATAATCTCCGCCGAATCCTCCTAGAATCGCTTGTTGTCTCTGTACACCCCACTTCGCCTTGAAATAAACATAAAAAAAGGTACTCCGCATACGACTAGGGTATTCTGGAAGACGACATGCATGTACTTGATCGGAGGGATGATACAACCAACTATCAGAGACTTCAACAGTCTGGTAAATTGCTTGATCGTAGGTACGAGTGTTATTTTGGGGGTCCCGAGGACCTCACTCTTACCTCAATCACCAAAAAAAAGTACTCCACAAGCAGCAAGTACTCGAGCACGCACAAGGAGACCCCCCCATGTTGCGCCCCCCCATTGTTCCACACTTCTCACCCTCCATTACCAGGGAGTCGCCTGACAGAGTGAGACTATCTGGCTAGAGTTCCCACGTTAAATTCAAGCCAACCTATCGATTGGAAGAGGCAGAGAGAGGCCACTTCTCTGCGGGTCAACCCTTTGCAAGGATGTACAGTACCAATGCATTTCCTGTTGATTCGCCCGCATGGTGGTTTTTAAGCAACGGCATCAGTGCACATGCTGCTTCGCACATCTACTCGTACACGAAATCTTGAGGAATTGTTTGAGGGTTGTTGCTGGTTGTGCAGCGCAGGGCTTGCAGAGTCCCGTTCAACCGTGGTAATTCGGAAATGTGCTACCTAAAAAGGCTTCTATCGCTTAACCACTTTTCTAGAAGTGAGGTCTTCCACTTCTTTCTTGTTCTCTACTCGACCACCACTTGCTTGGCCATACGCGATGTTTCACTGGTATCAATATTTTTTTTTTTCATCTTTGCTTTTTCGTCTTCTTCCATTGCTTCTAGAATAATAATTATTCGTGTACGAGCACTTGTGCCTGAGTTTGTAGACACCTCTAGTAGCACTACATTTTCCAAGCCTGATGTCCTATCGCGAATATCTGAGACGTAGCCCACAGAATTGTGATGCATCTAAGGTGCAGAGGTCCCCTTTCAACAATGACCTTCAGGACCATGATATTTTACTTTTTCGCTCCCCCCTAACATATTTTCTTCCTTCCGTTTATCCTGACCGTCGTAATGATGGGGCGATGGTACTGTACTCGAGTATTATTGGAAAATTTCCAAAACATTAGATGCCACTTTATTATATCCCCATTTTATTTTGCTCAGTCTCTCCTAGCGTGCGTGCTGCTCACATGGCCAACGAGGTTCTGTCGATTACGCCATGTTGCGCTATCCACATTTGGCGCTTGGTAGCGCGCGCGCTGGCGGGCTCCCGGCAACAATCGATCAAGCGAATTGCTTAGCTTAGCACATCCACCACACACTTTCGACGGACGCACCCACACACACCCTTTCGAACTTTCCCCCTCTTCCTTCCATCACAAAATAAAATAAAATACTTGCCAAAAGAAGACGGCAAGCAGAGAGAACGTAAAATCAATTTCACCATCCCTCTTTCGCCTCGTCCGTGCGCAAGAAGGATAGCGGCTGATCCATGGAAAGGGCTTTTTAGAGACTCCCTCACCACTCATCCACCCTAGTTGCCACGAGGGAACCGGTCCTATCAAGACTTTGGTGATTGGAGCCTCCGCTGGATTATTTCACTCATGATCCCTGACATGGGTTGTTGTTTTTTTTTGTGATTTGTGGTGTATGAGTGGGTGGGGGGGGGAAGGAAACCGCCGCTGAAGACAAAACACAATTCCAAGTGATAATACCCATAGTGATATTGCGAAATTGAATTGTGCTTTGGATTGTACTCTAGGTAATCGGCTGGATCGATTGCCTCAACATCCCTTTCTCTTACAGCATGGATTGGAGTGGGGAATCACTGACAGCCGACAGCATGGCAGGCCATACTCGAGTACTCGTACATACCGTAGATGCAACCGGAAATACTTCGTACCCAGTCATGAAGTTGCTTTTTATTCTGAGCAGTTTCTTTTTCTTGAGTTTCTTTTTGCTCGTGTCCTTCCTTTTGGTCTTCGGTCAACCCGTTTTTCATTTAACGGTCTTCCTTGCATTCCGCGAGGTATCAGCACATGGATATCCCCTGTTTGGATTAACCACACAAAACATGGAAAATTCGCCTCCGGACTTGAGGGAATCGATAGAAGATTCCATAGAATGTTCTTCAACGAATTCTGCGGCAGAGCGAGCCATACACCTAAACACCAGCCATTATTACTCGAGTAAAAGTTTGGTTGAAGCCCTCCCTGCGGTGCCCTTCGGTCTTGCTCAAACCTGCAGATGGCTCCCTGTGACGAGCGCTTTCTATGTCGTGGAGTATGTTATTGCCAATTCGAGGTGCCAATACCGGTATCTACATGTCAAATGGGGTACATTGGGGGATTCGGACTTGACAGGTGAGAAGGAAAAATCCACTTCACCGGAGAGCCACGTTTTTCCCGACACTTCATGTAAATCTCACGGAACCAACCGCCAGAAAGAAAAAGAAACCCCCTTCGCGGGACCAAACGGCACCTAGCCCGATCTACTTGCATCAACACATGGCCGCCAAGATCATATACCGGTATCCCAACCCGGCTTCTCCCAGAGACTCACGTTGATGGTAAGCAAGGAGGGGGTACAGTACTCATACAGCACTCCTACGAGTACAGAAGGGCGGGAGGGTAGGTGAGGGCTTTTTTTCAGCTTCCTTCGGTTCAAGACACGATCCATCGTCTGGTCCCATCGGACCTTTTTTACTGATCTATAAACGTGCCATACACGCGACGAGTGCGAATAACGCCCTTTTTCCTCCTTCTTTGCTTTTTACCCTTCATTCCTTCTTGGAAAAGGAAATATAACATTGCGGTAAGTGACGAATGATGGTGGTAAGAAAGAGGAACAACGGTATCTTCCTTTTATAATATCATCTTTTGTCTTTAGATATCATCTGCATTTCATCACTTCCTCACCTTCGCCTTTTGCCTGGTCCGAGT